AAAAGGGCACAAGGACTTCTTGAAGAATGTGAAATCCGATCCAGAGACACAAGTGACCTCGTTCCGAGTCTATCTGCATAGGAGAAACAAATTTATTCATGGTAATATACTGTACCGCACGTTGTATTCGATTAACAAAGCAAGTGAGCAAGTAATTTATGTTCTTTCTTTCAGCATGGTTACGAATTTCTGCTGAAGATGTGACCCTGGAGCGCTCAAAAACTGATGTAGTGGTATGGCCGTTGCAATTTCTTCGGCGTTACGGTTATACATCAGCTGGTAATTTAATTTTGGCTGTCAAGTTTTTTTTATTATCGTTTCGATATGAATTAGAAAAGTTTAACGTTTTGGATTCCTCTACAACTCTAGTTGGAGTTCACAAGTGATCTATATTAGAGGGTTCTCGAATTCACAGAAATCCCTTTCCTCTCTCCGATTCGTTAATATGTTGTGTGAGGTTAAGGTCGGCAGTCGCTATGGCGTCATAATACTTATCCTTCTCCGTTATTCATATCAGTTAAATTTTTTTGTTTAGTTGCCTTCCAAAATCTGGGAAGATTCCCATTTTTCAGGTGTTTTACCAGAAATCGTTTGCAAACGTGCAGTCAGTCCTCGCGTGCAATAACTTCCTAAACGACTCTCTCATTAACTTGATGATTAACCTTGCGAAAAAGCGCTGCTGAATTCACTTGAAGCTCATGAAATGGCATTCTTTAGATGCTTGCACGGGCCTTTATATCTTTACCAATAGGTTCTTTGCAGTTCATTTTCTCTGTTCAATGGGTGGTTCGCTCGGGTTCATAATCTTTACTGTCATTGATTACAGCTTCCAACGTAAGATAAAGACAGTCGAGTCAGTTTAGTGGCTTATTCTGAGCACTTACTTGAATTGTTCTTCATTTTGAACTTTCACTTGCTTTCAAAGGGTCCTGTATGGCTTCGCTTCAGTTTTCATTTGTGTTGAAAGAACAGAAGTGCTGACCAAGGAAAGGTTCTGCTGAATGCATATCAGAAAAATCGGTGACTCCAACTTAGTAAATCCATAATCCATGTGTTGCAAAATCATAGGAGCGTGTCTCCGTAGACCCGTTGTTAAGTCAGGGCTGTCGAAGTCGTGACCCATAAATGTTTAACACCAGGATGCTATGTCTACAGCAATTTATGACTAACCCTAGATGAGCCAAGAGCAAGTTTGCGAGATGTGGCGCAGCTGGGTTGATTGTGGGCGATCCATGATTTACACATAGCTTGAGCAAAGAGGGACTTTTGACCAAAGATTATTTTACACTTTTTTTGGTTTCTTGATCCAATTTTGATAATTTTTTCGTACGCAAGCTGTCACTTCGACCGTAGCTTAAAAAGTGCTACAGTTCCTTATCGCTCACCAATAGATGGTAAACCTGAAGTGACAGTTGCTCGAGAGTCACTCAGCCACACATTCGTCATCTCACATAATTAGCTGCAGTGGGTCGGTGAAAACGGCTGAAATTAAGTAAATCCGCTATTTGTGACCTAACCAACTACACGGTTGGAAGTAACGGATTTTCTTATTACCGGCAGATACTCTTTGATTGTATCGAGCGCTCCGTAATCCGCTACATTGTTGAATACTTGTAGAACCGTGATAGACAAAACCTCCTAACAGTCCTTTTCTGCCACAATTCTTAAACATTACCGCCGTTGATGACTGAACTTTATATTTGGCCGCCCCTGGTCCTCTCCTCATGGAATTTTGCCAGTGCGGCCTGCAATTCTATAGAACCTCTGTGGTAATGCCATCTTTAATGATAGCTGACGAATAATACAGATGAAAACGTCTGTGCCTCACTCTTCTTTGGTAGTTCTGTATCCACCACAAGGTCCACTGTATAGAGTATATTTGTCGAGTTCTGGGATGGATTACCAACAGGGTCTGCAGCCCTCGAATACGTAATTACCTAACGGTGCTCGGCTTTCTCTGCATTTTCGCTTTTTCTGTTCAGACGTAACCACAAATTATATTGCGACTTTTCGAATCAAAAATTAAAAGGATTGAAAAAACCATAAGTATTGCTTATTTATCTTTCTTTTTTCCAGTGTTTTCCTTCGAAGTCTCGAGGTCAAAACACTGTAAAACTTTGCCTGAACTACAAGTTCTAGTTCTTTTCATACCGGCGCTATTTGACCTTTCTGAAATTGCCGCTCCAATGCTTTGAAAACATGTTGGCGTTATTACGCTTCCAATCGCATACGGAGCCCTTACTTGTGGGGGACTGGAACTGTTTTGGTGCGATCATTCTTAGATTGTCTAGCTAACGGTTTCTCCCTTGATGTCCTCAATGGGGAGCTTTTTTGCTTTTCTTCATTTACTTTTTATTTCCTCGAAAATTCTTACACCCAATAGTTGCGCTGAATAATTTTAATTGACAAATTTGTCCTGTAGAATCGGAAGTTACAGAAACGTTAACCATGAGTTCAATTTCAATCGTTGTAACGCTTATACGGTGCTTTCTTATACGATGGTAGTAGGCAGTAGATTATCTGTTGAGAGCAACTCTGTGCTAAATATTCATTTTCGACACTTGATATCGAAATTTCATTCAACCCAAATGTGTCTGAACTATTGGCAACTGTTCAAGATAATTTTTAAGGAGTCTTCTTTTTCGAAAGTGGTCGGCGATGCCCTACGGGAGAAGGTCTGCACACATTCCAAAGTCAAAATGCAGATGCTATATTTCAAGTGGGTCTGGCTGTTGCTCTCCCGTAAAGAATGTTCATTTGTGTCAAACCATTGTTCACTCGACAAAGAAGGAAAGCTAGATCTTTTTGACAACGTGACACCCATGGTTTCAGCTTGTTCAATCGCGGATTCAAGATAATGCGAACACACACCATGCGGAAACAATGCGACGAAATGAAAGGGCCAGAAGTACTGGACCCACAATGGGAGCGGGATTGTCAGTACGCTGCATAAATCCTATACAGAGATACGGAAGCGAAGGTGAACAATGCTGTCCTATCTATTTCGATTTTTGTCAATCTGAATCCTGGGACTAATGCGCCAACTGCGCTTTGTCACGTATATGTCTGGGATCGATGTACCGATCTCCTTCGTGAATAAGCCTCCATCAATATAGCTATCGTTTTGTTTTTTTGAAGGCGCTCGCTGGTGCTATCCGTTTTGATAACATCAAGCGCACAAAGCAGAACAAACTAACCGAGTAGTTTGATAGTTATAACTATAGTTTGAACGAAAACGGTGTGCTACCATCTTTGGTCTTTTACAGGTTTGTAAGAAATTCCAACCAAGGTGACGATGATCTTCACAATTAGACGGTTGTAGAAAGATTAGAATAAAAGGGAGGGGATAACAACTACTTCGTAGTGATGGTTCCATTTCGACGGGCACCATCCCTTTCACACTCCTATACGTAAAAGTCAAAGCGTTGGAATCAAGCGCCATTTACAGTTCTCATAGGTTCTTTATGTTATGTATTGTCTCTGTCCCTACAGATAGTCATAGACAGCAGTCCAAAACAAAAAGGAATTCGTATCGTAAAAATCGACCAACTCATTTAAAGTTTTCTTCTTGGGTCTGAATCAAACTACATGAGTAACTTAGAGTAGTGAATACTTATCGTACTTCAATTGTATAGGTTGTCTGTGGGGAAGATAATCTCATTGACGCATTTGACCTCGCGGGATTGCACGAGGGCGATACCAGGAGGATGACATGCGTAACATGAGCCGATCTCGCCATAG